AAAAAAAAAAAAAAATAGATAGATAGAATTTGATATTTTAAAACTTACTCTCTCTCATAAAGTTGAAGAGATACTTCAATTTTTTTAAAGAATCCGTCAAACATGGTTGTCTATCAAAGATTTAGTTTGGGACCTAGAATTTGGTCGATATATATATAAAAATATACATGGAAACGCCGGTCATATTTCTAATTTCTTGACTTGGAAGATTAACACTCTCAAAACCAACACTTTACTCTTGTGTGCCTTTTGATTTTTGTTCAAATCTTGAAGCAACAGTCATTAATTCTTACTCATTTTCTATTTTTGGATGTTTTCCTCCGTGTGAATTATGGCGACAATAACAGGCCAACGACAGCATAATAATATCTTCTTCCCATTTAATTTAATCTTTTTTATAAATGAATTCCACCCATTATCGACTTGTGTTTTCCTGCTGTGCCGCAACCATACAAGCTAACTAGCGGTTTCTGGATGCATGATATTTTGCTTGATGTGTATATTAATGCATGTTTTGGCATAGTAAACCTTGTTAACAATATGACAACGAGTTTAAGACAACCAGCTTTTTTTAAATAAATTTGGAGAACTCATCTATATGGTTAACCTTTGAATTTTATACAATAGACCCAATGGTATATTATGACTTAATTAGTAGCTAATGAAATGAATAAAAATCATGACAAACCAGAAATTTATATTCTAGCACAAACAAAAATAAAACTTTGGTGATTTTTCCCATCTGCTTATACTAGTAGAGGTAGCATGTACCTATTAATTGTGCGCACAGACTGACCATGACATCACCATTATATTATACAAAAAGAGTATGTGATCAGCCATTCCTGCTACTTGGCTTAGGGTTATAAGTAAGAGTGTACATGGATCGGGTTGGTTCGATTTTTATCAAAACCAAACTAACTATATCGGTTTGGATTGGTTCGGTTTTGTCGGGTTTTTTGAATTTTTTTGTTACATAAATATTATTTCAATCTTACTTTGTTAAAATTATAGATAAAGCTTTGATAAGTGAATATATGTTTAATAAATATGAAAAATAATTGACGAACATATGATCTATTAAAATATCTAATGAGAGATTTTAGTAACACATGATAGTTATTTTCTGTTAATTTACGCTTTCAAGGTTAATACATGAGAGGATCCCAAATATTTCTACATTTTCTAAAAATATAAATAAAATTTATATATTTATATCTCGGTTTGATTCGGATTTTTTTACTCAATATCAAACCAAGTCAAACCAAACCTAGTCGGGTTTTTTATCGGTTTGGTTTGGTTTTTCGGTTTGGTGCAGTTTTCCAGTTCGATTTGAACACCCCTAGTTATAAGTTTGAAATGTTACACACAGAACCGGATGTTTGAAATAGAAAAGTGCTACTGGGGTGTTATATGGGAATAGATGTTTAATTTGGCCGTTAAAGTATAACAGATCCTCAAGATGAGTAGCAGATATGCGGATGCTAATTAAGATGAATGTGTGGTCATATAAGATTAGATAAGATTGAAAATAACTACATGAAGCACACGTAGGAAAAAAGAGAGAATGACACTTGAGATTTTGGGTCATGTCTTGTTGTTGACGTCCAGATGCATGTGTAACCACAGTGGGTGAAAATATTAAAAGGAGATAAAGTATACCTAAAATCACGTGGAAGGAAGCTACAAGACTTACAGTTTCTTGAAATTCATGCAGACTTAGCAAAAGATTAGGCACAGTTGATAAAAAAAATCCACATATGCGATACAATTAGCTTTGATATATGTTGTCATAGTTACTACATTTATTTTAGGTCATATGTTCTGTAGGAATATTTTTGCTCTATCTAAGATTTTATGCAAATAAAAAATATAAAAAACTTTTAATATTTTCTATTTTTATTTTATGTTTTATATTGTTGGCTAAAAGGAATTTTTTAAAAAAAATATGATCATTGGGTATTCATAAAGCCGACCCAACTTGTTTGTAATTGAGTCATTTTAAGGACTCAAAATTACTCGAATAGTTCGAGGTTTGACATGCTTGGGTTTCTTAATGCACTGTAAATGGCAGGTTGACAAACTGGCTACCAATCTAAGTTCATGCACAATGTTTGCCACTGTCCTCGATTGCATAGCGCGGTCAATGTCAATCGCCCACCAAGTCGAGTTAGAACTTGTTTGTATGGTTATTACCAATTGTTTTGTCGATTGTTATTTAAATTTTATTGCTAACGTATCAGTAAATTCGCCATTATATAATAATAAAAAGTGCCACATATATAATGACTAATTTAATGCAATCGCATCGTTACCTTGTTTTTTCTCTCATCTTAACCTTTCTTATTGTTAAGCAATCATATTTTATTATTTACCTTACGTTTTTATATAATATTTCTACCATCTCCCTTACTTTTTCTTCGCAATATTGCAAGTTTATTTTTTATATTGTTAGTGTATGATATCACAAAACGACGATAAATAATGTAGTCTATCCAAACATTGTATACATAAAAACAGTACAGTAAAATACAATATATTATGAAACAATACATAACAACTATCCAAACAAGCCGATAAGAAAAACCACATGCATAATGGCAAGGACAAATAGCTGAATTATTCACTTAAAGGTGCCACAAGCAAAATCAGTTTAACAGTATAATATGCTCTCACCCATTGACTAAGCTTGTTAATGCGTACAACTCGGTAATTATCAACTCAGTAGTTAAAGAGGCACTAGAACACTAGGAATTATCAACACTCTAGTTGAAAAGGAATATCATCCTGAAAACCAAATTATTAACAGACATGCACTATAAAGTAAATCGATGTCACAAATCAAACCATCTCCCTATTTTTGGGGGTAAAAAGATGACACATTTTGTCAAAACAAGAAAAAGAAAAATAGATGGCACTCTAATTGTACAATTCTCCCCGTGGCATGTTTGCGTTTCCTAAACATCTTCAGAGAGCAAGGGGATCAATCAACCTTCAGTTAGACCATACATGGACCAGCCCAAGACTGTTTCCAGTATAGATTTCATTATGCTCTTCATCATAGAAAAGGGCAGTGATATCTTCCAGGGCTTCTGCAACCGTGCTACTAATTCTGGAAGCTCGGATACGCTTCTTAGAGTTGCAACTTCTACCACCATGCTCATTGCAACTGGGACTGCAACTACAATCATCTGAGCTAAGGCTGTCAGTTGCTTTTATTTTAGCAAGGCATTTGCCTGTCAAAATGTTGCTGATATTGATCGATCCAGCTGTAAAACCAGATTAGTCATTTTCAGATATCTATAAACAAGCACAGAATATCAAAAATAAATCAAAGAGGCAAGCATCAAGATTTACAATCACCTTACTTCCAACCATCCAGGTCATAACCACACCATTTACTTTATATCTCTAAGCTTAATTAACAATGCGGGTACAGCGATATTTTTGTGAGAATAAACTGACATACAGGTATATCAGCCCTAATCATATTTATGATGATTAGCCTCACATCCAAAGGCCTATTATGCTTTTCAAACATCAAGAATGAATGTTATGAAATTCTCATACTGACATACCTGTTCCTTCTGATAAGGAATCATCAGAATCAGCTTTGCAATATGAAATAATAAGGTCCTGATCACTAGTAATGTAAATGTTGTTTGTATTGCAGTCAGGATGCCATAGTAGGTGATCCTCAAATGAAGTCACAAGCTCCCCGCGGAAGTTCCAAACAGCTACTGTTCTGTTTCTGAACGTCAAGAATAATTGATTCTCGTACAGAAATATAAATGCTGATGGGGTCATGAATTCGGCTCTGCTAACTTCTGTCAACTCAGAATTGCGTACCTATTTTCAACAGCTATTAGATTTGATATTTTGATGATAAACGAAGATAAAAGACATTGTTGAGAAGGCGAGAGAAACTCACATCAAGAATCTGAAGATTTTCATTCTCTTGTTTGACAAGAAGCTTTTCATTGAACTGTTCAATGAAATCCACCTTCTTATTTCGGTGGAGCAGATGGTTGAAAGATTTAAGAACAGTACCATCCTCAATCGAGAGAATCTTTAAAGGAACATGGCCGCTAGCTTTGGTAAATATTAGCAACATGATTCCAGGACTGCTAGAAGGGAAACGAAAAGAGAACAAAAGTTATGAGTCAAGAAAACCAGTTCTTGACAATCAAACTACTGTAAGTTTATGAGAAGTACTTAACAGAACAGACCAGACTTCCCTTTAGTACATTATTCTATCTCAACAGGAATCCCGAAAGAATCATAAGAATAAAAAGTTGAGTCACGAAAACCAGTTCTTGACAAATCGAACTGCTGCAACTTTATGAGAAGTACATATGACAAACACAACAGACCAGACTTCCATTTAGTACATTATTCTATCTACATCCTTTTCTGCACTTCATCACAATCTTTCAGCTCTTGAAACTTAAAGAGCATTGTTAATCCCAGAAACAACAGGAACCTCAAAAGAATCATAAGAATAAAAAGTCGAGTCAAGAAAACCAGTTCTTGACAAATCGAAACTGCTGCAAGTTTATGAGAGTACATATGAAAAACACAACCAGACTTCCATTTAGTACATTATTCTATCTACTAAAAGCATCATTTTCTACACTTCATCACAATCTTTCAGCTCTTGAAACTTTAGAGAGCATTGTTAATCCCAGAAACAACAGGAACCTCAAAAGAATCATAAGAATAATAATAGCAGCAGACACAAACAAACAAGCAAACAAACAAAAACTGTCACCAGACATAAACAAACACATATACAGATATGCGAAGAAAATAAAACAAACTAAAGATAAACAAAAAAACAGAGACAAGTAAAACAGGAGAACAAAACTTAGAAAGAAATGGAGTTAGCACTCTAGCAAACATATAAGAACACATTTCCATATTCTAAAGGCGTCTGCCGCGCAAGATTCTGTAGAGCATTTCCATGCACATAAGTTATAACACAACTCATCACGGCAATAATGAGCATGCTAACGCATACTTGCAAAAGCAATGAAGTTACCTGATTTTAATCTCTTGAACATTTTTGTCCGAAATCGAGTATAACATCGTATAATTCTTCAGGTCAAACACCTTGTATATGCTGTCAAAAATGAAATGGAATTGTAACATTGAATTTTTTTTACCAAAATTAATCACATCATCCAGAAAGGACTTCAGTACAGGAAATTTTACCTATCCTGGGCAGAGTAAGTAAGTACTTTCCCATTTACATCATCAAACTCCACAAAACCAGGCCATTTTAATGATTCCGACTCAAATAGAGCAAATCCAGCATCTGGTTTACCCCTCCTTATGTATCTAATTTCATTGATATAAAGATATCGTATTACTACCAAATAAAAACATTCAACAGAATCTGATCAAACAATAATATTAAAATTTCATACTCAATCCTTGTCGTTCTGCATTTTAAGGAACTGAAATTATCTGAAGCATAGACCGAAACAGTGATTAACGAGTCATTGTTTTTGTTGTAAAACAAGCTTCGTATGACTTCGTCTGGACTGACATTCAAAAAGCATATCCTCCTGTTTGTTTCTGCACCACCAGTAATGTATATCAATTACCTTTCAATCACAAAGGTGCTCATAGAAGCAATATAACATTGAGAATTACCAATCTTCGTTCTTTACCTCGGCTAAATGCTGCACAGACACCAGATTGTGCAAGGGCGAAAACAATATCACGTGCAGCAACTATCTCAATTATCTTTGACCTTTTCTTAAGAAATGGAAGTACCATGGCACTATGACCTTTCGGATCATGGGTATCATATTCCTCCTACAGATCACGTACAAAAACTGTCATTACTAATAAGTGAGAGCAGCATCCTAAAATAATGAACAACTAATTCAACTAAGGATATTTTAGTTTTTTATTTTCAGGCAACCAACAATTACTACATGCAAGATCATAAAAAGATAGGATGCACATCTTGAGAAACTAATAATGAAAATTTTCACTTGCAACAGTCCAGATTATAACAAATAAGGACACATAAAAAAACAACCATATAAAAAATCTCCCAACTAATCCAATATACAAAATACGTTTTTCACAGCTTTATAGCACTTCACAAGTTTCTAGCAACATGAAAGACATAATTCCAACTAACATTTGTCCAGTATTGACGGAAATCTGACCACCAAACTGAATTAGGCAAAATAAAAGATAAAATTTCTATTAAAAACCTACAAATTGCTCAGGACATGAAGATCAGACAGACTGCAAATCATAACAGAACGCTGCTGTCTGGAAATGCACCATAAGACATATAAGCAGCAACCTCATCCTAGGAAAACAAGTCGGTTAAAAAGGATGCAAAAGGCATCTCTTTCCCCTTTGTTTTTAATCCGCTAACTGCCTAATATAGCTGGTTCAAAAACTTAAGCAATAAGGAAGCAACTGGAGAGCTGCTTGTTAACATAATTATTCGAAATTGGAAGCGTGAAGAAAACTTGAAACTAGATGTCTTGCACAACTATAATTACATCACGTAATATTAAATTCCAATAAATTGTAGACAAAAGATATCACAATTCTGATGCAACACATCTCGATTAACATCGCTTACCTATCCAGTAAACATATCTTTTGCCTAATAAATACTCCTGCATTCCCTTTTATATAGCATTATTTTTGTTTTAGTCCGTTCCAAAAAGACTGACGTTTTCTTTATTTGAAAATTCTTTACTTATAGTGATAAAAATATCATGACATGTTCCAAAACCCTTTCTTTTTTATACTACATGCACAGTCAAACACCACAATAAAAAATGAAATGGAAGGAGCAGCAAAAAAAATTTACATTATATGTTAGTCAAATTGATGCAAAATGTTAAAACTTCAGCACCAAGACTCTAACAAACAAGAGTTCAACAAAGGAAACAATAATTGAACTTAAACACATGAAATAAGGGGACTGAAGCTGACTAATATGAAGCTGAATTGCAAGGGAAAGTGCTGGACGGAGAGAAGTGCAGAATCATGGAGGAATGAAGTTGAAGAACTGAGAAAAAAAGGAGAAGAAAGGAAGAGAAGAATCACATAGGATTCTGAATTGTTATTCATCCTACTTTGCCTATAAACAAAGGATAATTATATACTTTTGTAGGAAAAAGTTGAAGAGCCATGAAAGAAATCGGATTTGATAGTTAATCAAGATCTGGTGGGTGGTTTTAAGGATTGCAAAATGGCCTAACGAAAACAAGGGGACTGAAGCTGAATTGCAAGGGAAAATGCTGGACGAAGAGAAGTGCAGAGTCATGGAGGAATGAGCAATTGAGCATAGAGTTGAAGAACTGAGAAAAAAAGGAGAAGAAGAAAGGAAGAGAAGAATCACATAGGATTCTGAATTGTTATTCATCCTACTTTGCCTAAAAACAAAGGATAATTATATACTTTTATAGGAAAAAGTTGAAGAGGCATGAAAGAAATCGGATTTGCTAGTTAGTCAAGATCTGGTGGGTGGTTTTAAGGATTGCAAAATGGCCTAACGGCCCCCTAAACATGCATCAGTTTTTCAAGCAAGCTACCAAACTTATGAGTTTTCATTTTAATACCTCTACTTGATAGTATGAGTATTAATAAACGTCTCTGACCATTGATCATGCTTATGTGGCAGTGACATAGGTGATGTAGATAACGTGCGTGCGAATCACGCCGTTAACACATGTGAATACAATAATTTTGATTTAAACAAATACTAAATTAGAAAAAAAATTACAAATGAAGAAAGAAAAAGAAAAAGGACCCTGACAGTTCTCCCCTCCCCCTCCCTTTCTTTTCTTCACCAGTAGCCCTATCCCCTTTCTTCNAACTGCTCTTCTTCTTCCTTCCCCCTTCTCCCCTTTCGTCTACCCACCTCCCCCAGCTCATTTCTCTTCTTCTTCCTTGTCCTTTCTCCCTTTTAATTCCAAATCAAATCCAAACGACTAGATAAGAGCAAAAAAAAAATTCAATCATGGAAATTCAGTAAAAATCAATCGGGATCCAATGGTTTTGAAACAGTGGCCGTCGCCGAATGTCAGTTTAAACATCGGCCTTTTTTGTTGGTGGTGGTGCAAAGATCATTATGACGATGACGGGGACGATGCCTCTCCGGTTTTCTTCAGACCACCGATGGTAGAAGTAGACAATGGAGAAGCGAAGATCTTGGTTTCTTGGAGGAGGTTCTGGAACATTTTGGTTTCAAAAGGCAGTCAACACTGATGAGTTTTTTGGGTTTCAAAAGCAATGACTCCCCCTGATCTTGGCTTATTTGTGGTGGTGCTGGCGGAAAGCCTGGTGGAGTGAGGAGTTGATGAGGTGCGGTGTAGTGTGGTGCCACTTGTTGAGACTATCTCAGCTGAATTTTGCTCGTTGTTGTTGTAGTTGCTGCAACAGCATTGATTCTAGGATTTGGGCGTTTCATCAGAGGGACTTTTCCGGCGACAACTTATTTCTTTACGGATTTGGGGGTTTTAGAGTGGACAAGGGTGGTGTTATTGATGGATGAGCTGGTGTAGACATGAAGAAGAAGAAGAAGAAAAGAAAAATATGAAATTAATATTTTGATAAATTGGTTGAAAATTGTGGGACCCACAAATTACATGTCAAGCAATAACCAGTTTAGCTTCAAACGTGTTACACATGCCAGAGCAACTGATATACACGCTCTCTTGGGGGTGCTTCCCAGTACTCATACCGTCGAATTGAGGTGTTAAAATGAAAAATTTGTAAGTTTAGCAGCCGGCTTGAAAAATTGGAGCAAGTTTAGGGCGCAATTAGACCATTTCATTGACTCATCAAGAAGAGGCGATCTTAATGACAATTCAAATCCTAAATAACTATATTGTCCAGCTAATGACTTTAAGTAAATAAAATGAGCAACTTCAAGGGTAGAGTTTGTATTTATACCTGTCCTTGAATTCGATTCATTTCCCCTTATAATACTTCCTAAACCTTCTTGGGTTACCATTTGCATCACATACTATTACATATCCGTATCTACTGTGCTTATTTAAAAGAAAAAATGTTGACTGTTAATACGCAAGGCTTCACATTTATATTCTATTTCAATAAGGAAAATGATAATCTGCACTCACATTCAACATTTACATATTGCAGCATAGTTCACAAAAACTGTACAATTAATATTGCAGCTAACACTGTGTTTATTCTCCTCAATAAGGAGATAAGGTTATCTTACTTTCGCCTGCCCCAAGCCAGCCTGAGCGGGGGCTTTCTCACACTGGTCCGCCTCTTTTTCTTCAACACTATGCTTGTTCAAGAGAGCATAAGGGGGGAAGTGAGGGAGCTTGTTCATTTACCTAGCTTATGCTAACTACTCATCTTCCCCCTACAACCAGTTCATATGACTGGATAGTAAGCGAAAGAGATATATTTTTTCCTCCCATCCAGCTTCAATTCCCTAATGAAACAAAGTGAATAATCATTGCCTATCCTCGATCTAAATCCCATGCTTGTCCCTCTTACTTACATTTTGATCAAGATTAGTGCTGAACTATTCGCTTGAATAAATTCTAAATCAACTTGGTACATGTTTACAATTTTTTTACATGCAAAATTCCAGTTCTCTGATTTCACCCACAAAAAGGATAATTGTACAATACAGCACACTTTTTCAACAAAGATAATATACAGCTTCTTTACTTCTATTCTCAGTTTTCATAATAAAGCCTCAACGACAAACTTTTGATACAGTTCAATGTGCAGACCTTTAACAACAATTGCATACTACGATCACCAAGCTAATATGCAAAAATCTCTTCTTTACTCATGTAAAAATAAACAACAATAACAACAACAACCCAGTAAAATCTCACAAGTACAAGTGGAGTCTTGGGAGGGTAGAATGTACACAGACCTTACCCCTACCCCGAAGGGGTAGAGAGGCCTTAAAAATAGAGAGTTATTTTTTATATATAGCATCCAAAAAACACAATGCCTCAGTCCCAAACAAGTCGGGGTAGGCTATATGAACCTTCATTGATCATGTTTCACCATATAAAATCATCTCAGGAAAACATAACAAAAAATAGGAACGAAAATGTAGTATTAGATTTTCTCTAAATATCCTATTCCATAAGAATCTTTAATAGTGATATAGCATCCAAAAAAGAAATCTAAATTAGGAACCGATCTGTGTGTTTCTTAGGCCACCCTTAGAATGATCTAGCACCAAAGCAACCTTATTTTAGGTCATAAACTCAAGAAATAACGCAGCAGTACTCTCACTTCCTCTCTTATTTTGATCAATCCTGATTCTTTCTTTTTCTCTTAATCCTCTTCCAATAATAAAAATGTATTATCCTGTTCAAGGATTAACGAAAATTTGGTCTATGTACTCAACCCGAACCGTCTAAAGTTCTTGCCTTTGTCTCATTATTTATCTATTGGATTCCCTCCAAAACAAACCCATATCTACTTCAACTATGGGTTTGTAACCACAACTCATTGTTGGGAATAAACCCCTTACCAAAATAATATTCACGGTAATAAAGCGGAATAATAATGTAGCACCGAGATACGGTAATTAACAAGAATAAAAGAGTAACAATGACACCAAGATTTTTACGTGGAAAACCCTTCTGAATAAGGAAAAAAAAACCACGACCCCGAGAGGAGCAACTGATATCACTATAGTAAGGAATTTTACACTTTGTAGGTCGGAGGTAAATACTCCAAAGACCACTACAACACTCAAAAGAAATAACCCTCTTTTGATATTCCCACCTCACTACAATATCGCTCACTCTCTATTTTCCTCACAGACTATTTTCTTATACCTTGTCTGTGAAACCTCACTCTTTCTTTCTCTCTTTGTTGGTGTGTAGAAATGAGAGTTGAAGCTCTCCTTTTATAGCCAAAGCTTCACCCTCTAAAGCCTACAATATTTGACAATTTACACACACTTTTCACAATTCAACAAAGTTGGCTACCAAACCAAAGAAATTCAACAAGGTTGGCTACCAAACCAAACTAATTCAACAAGGTTGGCTACCAACCAAACCAAGTCAACAAGGTTGGCTACCAAACCAAAGAAAACTCTTATTAGGCACATGTCTAATACTTCTTCAATGAGATGGACATCATCACTCATAAGCATATAAACTCAATTAAGAAATAATTCAAAAAAAAAGGAACAGAAGATCCAAACAAACCTGTAACTGTATATTCCGAAAACGCTCTTGGGCATCGTTCATACTGAACGAATGGCCACGCTTGGAACCAATTTCTCTCCGTTGAAGCTTCTTAACACTGTTCACGAACCCATCCATGCCACCCCGTGGCCTCTTCTTTGCCACCACCCTCCTCCCACTACATGGCCGAGGACTTGCACTTATTCTCCTCCCATCCATCCCTAATAAATCTCTAAAAGCAACTCTACAAAACCCGAAACCCTAACACGGGAATTGCAACATATGTACAGAAGATAACCAGGTTCAATATACTGTCTTTTGGGGTTTAAAGTACATGTTAACCCAAGTGTTTAAAACCCTAAGTTTCAAATACCCATGAAAAAGGTACAGAACTTGTACGGATAGAGAGAAATTAAGAGAGGGAACTTTGTTGCTCACTGTTTTTTGAAAACTGTGTGTATCAATGAATAATCCTCAGCGTTATACAGTGCATATGAGCTCAGTTCATACAGTTAAAATCCCAGCCAGTGAGGGGCAAAACAGTGTTTGGATTTTTGGAAGAGAGACAAGGGGCAAAACAGTGTTTGAAAATAATATGTCGGAGTTTTGAAAGAGCTTGACACGCGACTTGATTTCAAAATAAACTTCTCACATGCATTTGATACGATTATCTTGGTAAATAATAGATTTCTTAAAGAGCAATTGATTTGATAGTTTTACGTTAAAAATGTGATCGCCGAAATATGTGTTTGGTAGGGTATGTCTTATATTTAAGAAAAAATCCGACAAATAACCGAAAAAATCGAAAAACCGACATAAACCGAATCGAGAAAAAACCGACTTAATTGATTTGGTTTTGTTCTAGTATTTGAAAAACCGACTTACTTGATTTGGTTTCTTTTTAGGAAAAAACCGATCCAAACCGAACCATGAACACCCCTAATTACAGGGAAAGAAAAGCAAAAAATATAGGAGTATATTTTACTTGCAGATAATTTCACCTTTCTTATTTTCATGGGACTTGATTTCAAAATATTTGATGTAAAGAAACTTTTACCCATTAGGTCATCCAAAATACTGAAAGATATTTTTAAATAGTATAAAAATCTTTTTACACTATCAGCATAAATATTAATAAAATTCTTATCAAACAACTAAGCTAGACATATAACAGGAATACTTATCTAATATATACTAGAAGTGATGCTCGTGCAATGCACATACTCAACTGAATACTTATCTAATAAATTCTTCCCCATACTCAATCATGAAAAGAGAGTAAAAATAAAAATAAAAATCAACCTAAGTATTTGGAAGAATAAAGTGATAATTAAATAATAATCCTACCTCTGTCTGCTACATCAGCAAATCATTTGCAGAAAAGTCCGACAATCAAAGTTAAATCAAGAGTCCAAATTTTTCCTAATTAAAAATAAAGCAAAATTTCTAAAAATAGTGCAATTTCATTTAATTGAACAAAGAAACAAGAGAAATTGAAGTGATATTATATCGACAAATGAATACCAAGAAAAGTTATGAACAGAAATTAATGTAAAATAAATTGAAGTTTCATGTTAATTTGCGGTTAGCATACTAATGTAAACTATCATAAGGAAATTCCCCCCTACAATGCATTCAAGATTTTATAGTGAAAAACACAATATAAATTTGGGGCATACAACATTCTTCAACAAAAGTTCAAACAATATATGAGCAAAGAATGGAAAAAACCTCATATGCAGTGACTTTGAATAGCCATTTCGTAGTCCTGAGTCTCGTGATAGTTATAAAGTTTAAGAAACATAAAACAAATGGTAAGAAGAACTAAAAAATGATACACACAAAATTGATACAAACTTCTTCCAAATCAATAAGAGAAATGCCTTTAAACTCGTGTTCCCGAAGAAGGCGGAGCACTTGATCACTTTCCGGAGTACATTGGCCAAGACCCAAATTGACTATCTACTCCTCAGAAAATGTGATAGAGGTTTATGCGCGGATTATAAGGTCATCTCGAGTGAGAATCTTACGACCCAGCATAGGCTTTTGGTTATGGACTTAGAGATCAAGTGGACGAGGAGGAGGAGGGTTATGTTTGGTCTACCTAGGGTCAGGTGGGGTGCATTGACTAAGGACAAAGCCAAGAAGTTGGGGGAGAAGTTGTTGGCTATGGGGTCCTGGATGAATATCGGGGATGCGAGTTGTATGTGGACTATGACAGCGAATTATATTAGAGAGGCGGCGAGAGAGGTGTTAGAGGTCTCGAAGGGTTACTATGGTGGTCACAAAGGGGACTGGTGGTGGAATGAAGTGGTTCAAGGGAAAGTGGCGTATTTGAAGCTTTTAGAGAGAATAGACGAGGGGGAGAAGAGGGCTAACAGGGAGTGGTATAAGAAAGCTAAGAGAGAGGCGAAGTTAGCGGTTACTGCTGCTAAGACACCGGCATTTGGTCATTTATATGAAAACTTAGGGACAAAGGCGGGGGGAAAAAGTTGTATAAGATGGCGAAGGTGAGAGAGAAGAAGGCTCGTGATCTGGACCAAGTGAGGTGCATAAAGATGAGGAGGGTAGAGTTTTGTTGGAGAAGGCACATATTAGGCAGAGGTGGCAGTCATACTTCCATAAACTCTTGAATGAAAAGGGCGATAGGAGCAGTGTGATGGGTGAGTTGGAGTACTCAGAGCGACATCGAGATTTTGGGTACTGTAGATGTATAGGAGTGGGGGAGGTTGAAGGGGCTATGAGTAGGATGAGTAGGGGTAAAGCAACTGGTCCCGACAAGATCCCTGTAGAATTGTGGAAGAGCATGGGTAAGGGGGGCTTGGAATGGCTTTCTAGGTTGTTTAACATAATTTTTAGGACGAAGAAGATACCTGAAGAGTGAAGGTGGAGTACGATGGTTCCGTTGTACAAGAACTAGGGGGATATCTAAAACTGCAACAACTTTGGGGGTATCAAGTTGCTGAGCCATACGACGATAATTTGGGAGAGGGTAATAGAAGGGATGATGAGGAGGAGTGTGTCTATTTTTGAGAACCAGATTGGTTTCATGCCGGATCAATCGACTACTAAAGTCATTCAACTTGTGAGGAGATTGGTGGAGCAGTATAGGCGATGAAGAAGGACTTGCATATGGTGTTCATTGACCTAGAGAAAGCTTATGACAAAATATCGAGAGAGGTTCTATGGAGATGTTTGGAGGCTAAGGGAGTGCCAGTAGCGTATATTCAAGTGATACAGGACATGTATGATGGAGCTAAGACACGGATAAGGACAGCAAGAGGGGACTCTAAATACTTCCCGGTTGAGATGGGGTTGCATCAGGGATTTGCACTTATCCCATTTTGTTTTCCTTTGCAATGGACGCATTGACGCGATACATTTAAGGGGATGTACCTTGGTACATGTTATTTGCAGATGGAATAGTTCTGATTGATTAGATGTGTGGTGGTGTTAACGAGATGTTAGAGGTCTGGAAACATACCCTTGAGTCTAAAGGTTTCAAACTGAAGAGGACTAAGGTCAAATACTTGGAGTGCAAGTTTAGTGGCATTGCCCAGGAAGCTGACGAGGATGTGAGGATTGATACGCAAGTCATTCCTAGGAGAGAGAGTTTTAAGTACTTAGGTTCTGTGATTCAGAGTGATATGGAGATAGATAAGGATGTCACACATCATATTGGAGTAGGGTGTATGAAGTGGAGGCTCGCTTCCGGTGTCTTGTGCGATAAGAGTGTGTCGTTGAGACTTAAAAGGGAAATTCTACAAAATAGTGGTTAGACCGACTATGTTGTATGGGGCAGGGTGCTGGCCCGTTAAGAACTCTCATGTCCGGCAGATGAAAGTAGTGGAGATGAGGATGTTGAGATGGATGTGTGAGCACACTAGGTTAGATAGAATTAGGAATGAAGTTATTAGGGACAAGGTGAGAATGACCCTATGGAGGAAAATATGCGAGAGGCGAGGCTAAGATGGTTCGGGCATGTTAAGAGGAGAAATACAAATGCCCCGGTCAGGGGGTGTGAGAGGTTGGCCTTGGGGGGTAAGAGGAAGGGTAGAGGTAGGCCGAACAAGTCTTGGGGAGAGGTAATAAGGCGGGACATGGCGCAAGTTGAGCTTACCGAGGACATGACCCTTGATAGGAGGGTGTGGAGGTTGAGAATTATGGTAGAAGGTTAGTATGTAGTTGAGTGTTTCCCTTTGCCGTCCTTAGTTAAACAATATTAGTGTTAGTATGATAACTTTTACCCTTGGTTTGTTATTTTGACATATCTTGTATTGTTATTACTTGTCATCAATATCCCTTTAGTTTGATATCATCATATATCTTACACTGTTATTACTTGTGATAAGTACTTCTTTCATCTTTCCCTTTGTTATCTTGGATTTAGTTTTCTAAATATCATGTATTGTTATTACTTGTTATTAGTGCTTCTTACAACTTCTCTTTAGTCGAAGGTGTTCCGGAAATAACCTCTTTGCCCTACTAGGGTAGGAGTAAGGCTGCGTACATTCTATCCTTCTCGGACCCCACTTGTGCGAATACATTGGGTTGTTGTTGTTGTTTGTACCTTTAAACTAAATTATCTACACAGAAAAAGGCACAGAACTCTATGTACCATTATTCACTCCAGCCATCTTAATTGAAGACCTATAAAAATTCTACTAAAAATATTTGATCGAAAAGGAAAAAAAACATAAGCAACACAGAGAGACCAAAGAGAGCTTAGCAAGAAACACCGGAGAAGGACCCATCGGAATGAATGCATCAATTTTGCAGAGTAAGTGAGATTGTGAGAAAGAGGGGGGAAGAGTGAGAATAAGGAACATAAAAGTCTGAAATGAGAAGGAAAATGTGACAGAATATACGTGAAAATAGAGAAGGTACCCAAAAGAGGCAAACACGTGTACCTAAAAGAGGAATATTGAAGGACTCTAATTGAATTGCAGTACACACGTGCAAAGAAATTATATCACCCCGTAAAATAAGTTCAAATTGATAGTACAGTTCACAATGTTTTTAGTACAATATGAGGAGCAGTGTTCGTACACCTTAGCTTCTTATATATTGTAGAAAAGAAATACACTTGTTTACTTGTAAAAGAGTACACTTGCATCTGTACGTGATTTCTAGACAAGTGAATGAATTTGATCTTACAATAATAAGATAATTGAAGAAATATCCAACACTTAGCCTTGAGATGGAGATGAAATAGCAAAAATAGTGGTTCCGGGCACAACAATAATGAAATCAAAAAGCACGAAGATAAAATTGTATTAAGCTTTGGATAGAGTATAGTGTAAGCTTGCCAGAAAACTCCTATGTCCCCTATAATGATAGTTGAGCTCACTATTTATAGCTACGTATAGGGTAGGTGGTCCTAGAATTGTGTCCCTCTTTAATGTCAATTATGAGGGCCATTGATGAAGATGTAACAGTGAGCATAAATGCCAAATTTTTTGTAACGGGCATTCGTACTTAATGCCATGGAATATTTCCTATTAAATGCTACCGTGCGAAGAGTATTTATTACATCCTTCTTAGCATTATTCTTCTCGGTGACAGATGGAACAGTTGCCTTCAGTCTTGGACATCCCCCCGTCTTAGGTT